CCAGGAGCCAGGTGTATCGGACTCCGACGAGGATACGTCTTGGCTGGATCCACGCCAGCGTCGGAAGGATAAGCGTGCGCAGCAGCGGACACGTCGTGCCAGATAGTTCAGCTGAGTCACTGGGCCACACCCCACTGGCTATATAAGCAAGGGGTGTGGCATGTGAAGTTTCGTGACAGACAATTTTTGATGGATATTCGGTTGCAAGCTCTCTGGCAAGTTATTGTGGAGTTATCTTTGTTTGCTGTGTCTTATCAGTAAAGGCTTGGCAGGCAGCTACGCAGTTGCTGCCAAGGAAATCATTTGCCTTTGTGCCGAGCAGTTTTTCAGGCCTCGGCTGCCTGGTTGGGGGGTGTGGGTCGGACGGGGGACAGAACATATACATGCCAGGTTGGCCCTCTCATCCTTGATGAAGGCAGCCTTGTTATTGACTGACCTGGCATTCTCCAGCAACAATTGAAAACCTTGAAGATCTGGCAATGTGCCATTGAAGCCATATATCTATGGGGTGTTCCCCAAGAGCAGCCCAACCCATTTGCTGGCATATCTCTTACATGACCTGTCCCTGCACCCCTGAGACTTTCCCCCCGATCCCTCCCATCCTGGCCTGTGCACAAATCCTTATGAACGTGTATCCAACATCATCTATAGGCATTCAGTGGACAGATTAAAACAACAAGCATGTTTATAAAACGTCATTCAGTTATGAACAATCCCACAAAAAGCTCTACGGATTTTTTTGCAAGGTGTGTAAACTCATGTTTCTTCTCTTTCTCTGCATGTTTTTAAAGTGTTTTTGAGAAATCAGACTGTCTCTGGTCAGAGAGGGACATTTCGGACATCTGCTGGGCTGACTGGTTTCCATGAACTGCCGCCAGATGCTTGCTCCTTGGACGTCAAGAACTTCAGGTCTCCCTACAGATCCACAGAAGGTGACTTTCTCTAGTGGTTCTCATAGAGTAACAAGATGAAGTCTGTGTCCATTCAGAGCCTCTTTCTTGTGTCCTTACCATGCTGTGAGCTGGAGATGTACAAAATAGCCCAGTGAACCTTGAGGAGATGTTCTATGAGGCTCAACAATGAGTCCTCGAGCGCTCTGCATAGAAGCCTGATGCTCCTTTGCTTGTTGGAAGAGGCGCACGCACATCTTCAGAAGGCACTTCCCATGTTTGGAATTCAAATGTCAATTCCATAAGGGGGGGAGGGGAGATAATGCTTTGATCTGCAGAACAGGTTCAAAACTGTCATCTGCCCAGACTTACTAGGACATCTGCAGACAAGCTGGGATGGAAGACAAGACAAGCATGTTCACATCTTGTGTGCAGAATATTTTGTATTTTATGATTCAGCTTAATTAGGTGTAAACATAATGCACTCCTCTTAACATTATACATCACAGGCAGTCCTCGACTTACAACAGTTCATTTAGTGACTGTTCAAAGTTACAATGGCTTTGAAAAAAGTAATTTATGACCATTTTTCAGACTCATGACTGTTGTGGCATCCCCATGGTCACGGGATCATAATTTGGGCGCTTTGCAACTGACACATACTTACGACGGTTGCAGTGTCCCAGGGTCCTGTGACCTTTTGACAAGCAAAGTCAATGAGGAAGCCAAATTTACTTAACAACCGGATTACTAACTTACCAACTGCAGTCATTCATTTAACTGTGGTAAGAAAGGTCGTAAAATGGAGCAAAACTTAGTTAACAAATGTCTTACTTAACAACAGAAATTTGGGGCTCAATTGTGATCGTAAGTCAAGGACCTCCTGTATTACTTGTTAAGGAGGAACAAAGAGGAACAATGGGCCTCCTGAGGGCTCTCCAGCCTCCTCAGATATTTGGAGGTTTTGCCCCGTTTCAGGTCTGCCTTTGGCTCCCTCTGGCCTTCTGGAAGCCTCTTGGGTGGAATTGGGTCCTTCTGGCCCTGAGAGAAGGGGGGGTCCAGCAGGAGGCTGTTCAGGTGGTCTTCTGGCCCTGGTGGAAGTTTTGGTCAGAGGAAAAGGGGGCTTTCCTCCTCCTCTGGGGTGTTTATTTATTTAATATGAATATTATTTGCCACCCATCTCGTATCCAACGCCACTAGGCAGCTTACAACAGGGGGTATTGTGATATCAACAATGAAGGTTGTGGAATAAAAATGAAGAACTTGTTGATTTCAAGCTGCTTTATAATTGCCTGCCCAATGCATTTGTGGTTTTTATTTTCCATAATGCTTTGTTATAGGTATCATATCTTTTGATCAATTTCAATTTTCAATTGAAACTGATCATTTTCATTTTTTTGCAAGGCTCAGGGAGTGGGACACTTTGAACCTGAAGGCAAAAGAGATGCTTTGGAGGGGGGGGGCAGCTGCACCATCCCGGTTGCTTTTTTGCTTTCAAATCTGAAGTGTTGCATGGCTGTCTTTTGTGGCTGTGACCTTCCTTTTCCATGAGTTGAGCAAGCAGTTGTAGGACTTTCCATCTTCATTTGAATGGATTGGAGAAACCGGCAATCTTAACTGGGTTTTCCTGATTTCAGGCCCTGTCAGAGCTCTTCAGTTGATCCCAGGTGTGGACGTTTCTGGATCTCACCTCCCCCATCCACAGCCTGATACGGATTCGTCCAAACTGATGATAGCCACTTCCAAGAACCCTCCAGCCAGGAGCCCCTTGGAGACACGGCCCCTGATTGGGGCTTCTGGGCTCCAAAGCTACTCCTTCCCTGGGGGCTTTTCCGAGTGCAGAGAGGCCCGCAGCAGAGGCCCTGATGGCCCAGCCCAGCCCTCTTCCTGCGCCAGGGAATCGCAGCATTGCTGGCCTCACACCCCGGTGGAATGCACTGAGCTGGATCTGCAGGCCTTCTCTGCCTGGGCCGGGAAGGGGACGGCCAAGACCGAAACTCCAGGCAAGCAGACGCCGTCACCTGAAGTGCTTCCATGGTCTGCCTGTCCAGCAGCCCAGCCTGGGCTCTCTCTGGAAGCGGCTTCGGTCCCGTGTTCCTCCTTCCAAAACTCGACACTAGAAAGTGGAGAACTCCTGCAAAGTTCCTCTAGCAATGTTTCTCTGGAGCAACCACCACGTTGAATATTTACAGTTTCATTCTCTCCTCTCTTTTGTACACTTCAGCCCTTGCTATTCTTCACATGGGTGTTGTGGCACTGGCAACATTGGTCGAGCTAAAGAGACTCCGCCTTCCATGTGGATTTTGCGGCATTGTCAGTCTGTCTTCTCTTTAATGCCATCCAGCCGCACCCCAAACTGAAGAGGTTGGCCCATCCCCACTGATTGATGCAGAAGGCTGGCACTGAGCCAGACATCAAGATTGCAAAAGCTTATTGACTTCCAGGCCAGTTTTGGAAGAACGTCTTCCTGTTGTCTTCTCAGCGTAAAGCTCTGCAGAAGATTCAGCATTTTGATGCTTTTTGGCTTTGTGACTAATTTATTGGGACTTCAGCCCATAATGTCCGACTCTAGAATGTTTTCTACTCATCCATGAGAAGACTTGTAAAAGCCGAACAGCCCAGCCAAGCCTCGTCTCTTAGAGTAAAATCTTAAACGGAGCAAAAAGAGTTTACTTATGGATCGGGGGAGAAAAGAAATCCAAGGAGAGACCTGGACTATCATGTGTCTGCTTGATTTCTCCATGAAATTCGCCTTCTGATCAGCTTTGCAAGAAGGTTGCAGAGTCAGAGGAGAGCTTCCGAGCACTCGTGTCCGTCTCCTGGTTTCTCCCATTGGTTACCATTTGGCTCCTTGAACTGCATGGCTCCATCTCACGATGGAGTTACTGTACTTGAAAACGGTGGAACTTAAGTGGGTTTCTTTGTTCATTATTAAAAATGTGGTTTATTTTCAGGGCATGGAGGGAAGTTACAATACTCCAGTAATCCCTGAAAAAAATACCTTACATTGCTGTGGATTTGAGGTGTTCTTTTTCCTCTGGACATTTATAATAATTTCAACATGGCTGTTTTCAAAGTCTGCCTTGATCATTCTGAGCTTCTGAGCTCTTCAGCAAACGTAAAATACTTCCCCTTCCATCTTTATTTGACACTTTCAGGACAGGGTTCTGACCACGCTTGTTTATTTCCCCTTTGAGTAGAGTTGTAGCAGAAAAGGTACTGTACAATTTTTTTAAAATCCAGAAGCTCTGAGTATTATGTATTTTTCATTATGTATTTTTCATTGGTTCTAGAGGAGTATCTCCACTAGTAGTGAGGCAGTTCATTCAGTGTTCTTTCCTTGTCTTTTTGCATGGTAAAAGGTCCGTCTGAAATGCCTGCCTTCCTTCTCAGATATGGCTTTGTTATCTCAGGGATGTATCTGACAATCCATCTTTATGTTATCAATTCCAGAATTCAGTTCCCTATATAAACAAAGATAGTCCTGACTTAATAACACTAATTGGGACTGACAAGTCTGCTGCTCAGCAAAGCAGTTGCTAAATGGAAAATCACATGACCAGGACTCTGCTTTCAGGCTGGGAAGAGACAAAACTACTCAGTTTCACACCTTTGGTTTTTGTATGCCTCCTAAACACTCTCTCTTCTGCCCCCCCCCCCCAGCCATTGTCACCACCTTTGGAACACTCACAAGTTCCTGCTTTCTGTCTTGTGCACATTGACAGCAAAGCCATTGTGTTGCGGGGGGGGGGGGGAGCCATGAGGACTGCCTGTAGTTAGGAAAACAACTGAAGGAAGGCAGCAGGCCAAGATTGCCTTATTGAGTCAGCCTTAACCAGGCTTCCTTGGATCTGGACATTATTTCCTACATGGTTAGTATTTAATTAACTGAGCCTGGAGGCACCCTAGCAGTTCACCATCCTGGCTTGGTAATGACAACTCTGTCAAGAATATAAAGATGTATCTGGGGATCTCCTGCCAATCAGAAATGGAAAGGTGTGTTTCTTGTATAATATGCTGAAAGCGTTTTGTGTGATCATTGTGGGTTTAAGATAGGAGGGATCAGGACGGCTTTGAATTGCCAATTGGGGTAATTGTATTTTGGACCTGACTGTTAAGACAATAAGTACTCAGCCAAATGTGTGGCTTTTCTTTCAGCTAATATGCTGTGGCTGTTGCTGGTTGTTGACTTGAACTGCCACAGGGACTCCTTCTGATGAATGCAATTTTACTCTGTAACATTTCAGAGAATCTCTGGTACAGACCTTTTTTTTGTAATAGAGCTTCAATATCTCATCTCATTTAATAGACTATAATGACTTTGGGTTAGTTAAATTGCTCTTTCTTACATCATCATTGCCACATTTGCCTGAAATGCAGACACAATTGGTGAATTGGTTGACTGGGTTCTCATAGATTATATGAGACCACAGTTGGTAACTAAAAATTCAGGCTTCTCTACAGCCATTAAGCAGATATGCAGCAGATTGTCAAAATTCAGCTGTCATTGTCATTGCATTTGTGTGATCAAGTGTCATGGGAATCTTTGAGTAAACACAAATATAAGCCTATCATTTAGGGGTCCTTATAGTGATTTACTTCACTGATCTTACAAAATGTACAAGTTATTTTTAATGATTATTGAATAGGAATTTTCCTTGAAAAATTTTGTTGTGATTATTTTGTGAATGACATTCTGTTGGCTAAAGCAAGTTTAGAAAAGATACATCCTCTATTTTAACCAGATAACCCTGGTGTATCTCTAATTAATTGCTCTTAAAGTCTCACATTTGTATTTTATATATCATCCTAAGTTTAGGAACTATATCGCATATTCAGGGGTGAGGCCATTCCTTTTAGGAGCTATAGCAGGCATGTCAAATTTGCGATGTCATGAGATGTCATGCAACGTATCGTGACTTTTTTCCCATTGCTGGCAATGGGGTGGGTGCGGTCTTGGCATGACGCATCCGGCCCGTGGGCCAGCAGTTTGACATGCCTAAGGTATAGAGATCCCCTCAAAGCATTATATAGTCGCTTGGTAGGTTGATTAATGTAAGATCTAACCAGAGGCTGAGGGTGCAGAGTGGCCTACAACCACCATGTAAAATAATTCCTCCAAAACTAGGCTGGGTACTCTTTGTGAGTCAAGGAAACTGATGTGAGGAAGTTGCCATCAGATACCATCTGAAGCCTCTATCTTGTACAAATAATTCCCCTACCTTGTCTTAAATAGAAATGGATCCTTCAGACCCATGTACAAAAGGAATCTTATTGCTGCACTATTATTACCAGCCCTTGGGTTTCTGCTTGGCATTAATGTGCTGCAATGTACAAAGTTGTGAAGATCTTACTGCCAGCTGCCCTGCCTGAATAATGTGAAAAACAAGAATTGCATTTCAAAACTACTTTCTGTACTTTGTTTTATATTGGGTATAAATGATTAGTGTATAGAAGACTACTGTAGTGATAAATACAGACTCTCTTAAGAAATGAATGTTTTTTTAAGCAATGAGAATTTGTTTTGCAACTCTACAGTGGAAGAATCACTGCTGAATGAAATCTGTTTTTCCTGTTTTCAAAATCTCCTGTAAAAGAGGCCACCATTTTTTTTTATCTCACTCTCAATGCTTGTTTTTAACAAAGTAAAATATTGTTGATTTATAGCCTTGGAATAAATAGATTTTTGAAAATTCAGTCACAGAACAGCTTAAAAATTTGTGCCTGGTGTTTGCTTTTCCCAGCCAACAGCACTGGAGAACTGTAGGCGGGCAAAGGATATCAGAGCTCAGGTTTAAAAAGAGTTGTATTATTTTCACACTATCAAAAATATTCTTACCAGGCTGGAAATAGAAGCATTTTAAAGTATTGGGATTTATGTGTTCTTAGCTTTAGTTTTCATTTTTAATAAACCTCAACTGATGATGGAAACTTTTATTTTTAAAAGGAAGTTGTTTCCAAAACAGGGAAAAGGTAGGGACATCTTTGGGAAGTCAGAGTTCCTGCTTCTTTGCATTTATTTATTTTGAGGGGAAAGTACCTCATGTATTTTTTTGTATGTGAAGTTCTGCATTGATTTTCCTGTCATTTTAAATGCCACTATTTTAATAGTGATTTGGGGAGTCTTTATTTTGAATTTAAACAATTATCCACGTGAAGCATTTTGTACTTGCATGAAAAGAAATAAAAGTGTGTCTCCTGTAAACACTTTCCCTGCTGTGTCTCACTATCACATTAACTATCTTGCATTTAGTTCTCCATTGAAAACCCTTCAGTGACTTAGGCTCATTCCCCTGGTCACGGGACCAAAGTCTGATCAGCTGCGATTCCCAGCTGGCTTCCAACAAAGAAAGTCAATGGAAATAGCCGGATTCGCTTAATGGCAATGTGATTCGTTTAACGTGGCAAAAAGGTCGTAAAGTGGGGCAAATGCCAGTATCTGCCTTGCTTAGCAATGAAAACGATCGATTTACGATCGTGGTCGTAAATCGAGGACTACCTGCCCTAGCGAAGCGGGGGGGGGGCTTTGTAGCCTCGTCCTGGGCAGCCGGGACGGCGCCGGGCCCTGAGCGGCTGCCCGACTCGCAGCTGGGCCTCCGGGCTGCGCTGCAGTAGCCAGGCCGACTGGGGAGGCCTTTCCGGCGCCCAAGCGCGGGGAATCCCCGGATTCCCCTCGGCTTTGCATGACGTCACGCCCCGCCCCCCGGGGCCGCCTCCTGGCCTCGCGTCGTGCGTCGGGAGGAAGCCCGTCAGTGACGTCATCTCGGCGCCGTCGCGCGGCGATGACGTCATCTCCACGTCGCCGGTCCACAGCCGCGGGTCGAGATGGCGGCGGCGGCGGCGGGCGGAGAGGTGGCGGTGGGCGACGGAGCCACGAAGCCGCTGGTAGGAAGAGGGGCGGCGGGGCCCGTGAAGCTGCAGGCCGTTCCGAGCACGAGCCGGTCCCAGCGTGGCCCCGGGCGGCCAGACGGAGAGCCCGGCCTTGCGGCGCCATCGCTCCAGGCAGCGCCTGCCGTGCAGCCCCGTCCGGGGCGCAGCCCCGCTGATTGGGTGGTGCGGGTCTTGTGGGGCTGGAAGCGGCTGGTTGGGGGGCTGAGGTTCCGCCTTCTCTCCCCTCCGCCGTTTTAGGTTCTGTTTGAATAGCGTTGAAAAGGCGGTTTCCTTCTATCTTGGATAAATTAGTTGGAGAACAGTCTAGCAGCGCACAGAACTTTCTGAATAGGACGTTAAGATTCAACGTATCTAATTCTGAGATATTGTAATTCATCTCCCCAAAATCTTGCTTGACCTATTCATATCCCTCTCTGTAATATGCGGGTGAGAGTAAATATCTGAATTCAGATATGAAAGTAAGAAGTGCATAAAATCATATTGAAATCAAAGCATTCTGATACCAGAATGGCTGTAACGACCTTACCATCAGGATTCAGACTTGTTTTAGATCCATTCCAACTGTCAAGTCACTTCAGGATACTTCATGTTTGGGATGCTTAAATGTCAAGATATTCTGCATGCTTCTGGTTATATTTCCCATTATCTGGGATTGATCAGGTACAAAATATTTCCAAATGCAAATACTCCTGTGCTATTTGTTTGGTTAGATATAGTTGAGTAAATGTTTTTAAACCTTGTATAAACAGTTTGCAGGTCTTGCAGATGTGTCAATATCAGAAGACATTCCTGTAGAAGGAGAAATTACTGTTCCTGTGGGATCTAATATCCCAGATGAAGACTATTCCACATTAGATGAACCAGTAAAAGAGACAGTTGTAAGTGTCTTGGTGAAGGGAAGAGATTTCCATCAGATTTCTCTTGGTGTACTTGGCAATAAAGTGCAAAAATAAGACATCTAAGGATATCAACATTGGATGATTTTGATAAATCAGTTTATTGTGGCAATATTAATGAAGCCATTAAAAAAGAGCTTCAGTTGCTTTGTGTCAGATTACAGTTATCCTGGTTACAGTTAATTTTTGTACAATTTTTCTCCTACCTGCATTAATTTGTTCTCTCATAAGCAATATTTATGTAATACAAAAATCACTTTCAAACTCAGTACAATATTCCAAGAAATCTCAAGCTTTCAGAGCTGGGATTTCTTAGAATATTGTATTGAGTTTGAAGATGTATTTGCATATTGTTAATTACTGTAGTTTAAAAGTAATTCATTTGAGGTATCAATCCTACTTTTAATTAATCAGTTTGCAGGATTGAGTAAGAAGCTGGGTAGTGAAATCCCCAGATTTGGGGAAATTGGAATCTGTATGTTTAAATTATTTTTTTCACCAGTATTAGAAGCAAGAAAAGAGAAATTCAGTTCAATCATGGCAGTTAGCATTGCTATAACTTATGTAAATGTATCTCATCTAAATTTGTTTTTGACTGAACTTTCATTGAATTTTTCAGATGCGAGATTTAAAAGCAGTTGGAAAGAAATTTGTCCATGTCATGTATCCCAAAAAGAGCAGTGCCCTCCTCAGAGACTGTAGGTGCCAGTAGTAATGTTGAAAACCTTAAACTGTGTTAAATTCTGTGAAAGCATATTTGCCTCAAAATAGAGTATAACACAAGAGGGAGGGAGAACTTTAAAAACAACCATTTGGGGTTATAAATTTTGCGTTCCCTTGTAAAAATTATCTGTATGATTTATTTATTTGCAGGGGATTTATGGGGTCCATTAATCCTATGTGTTTTACTTGCACTGTAAGTACTTATATTATTTCCCTTCCCCCCACCTTAATGCTCTAAAATTGTGTTGTTCATTGGCAAAATATAAATGCAACGCAGCAGTTGTTCATACTACAAATTCCGAGCGAGCACCATTCCAAGAACCAAATGTATGGGCTTGATTTAATAAGCATGCATATGAATATTGAAATCTCTACGTTGCATAAGAGCCTGCACTTCATTCTTCCTGTGCTGAACATTTTAATTACAGATTTTATAACCCACCTTTCTTTTATAAACGCACCAATTTTTAAGCTTCTTCTATGCTAATGGCCTTAGTCCAGGGGATGGGACAATCAAGTGGAGCAAGCTTCTGCCATAGTTTTTATTAAATACTTCTGTTCCATATTTTTTGTCTGAGAAGGATACTCAGACTATCATGAAGAGAAATAAAGTGTCACAATAGTAAATAAAGTTTATACCATTGTCCGACCAGATTGCTAAAACATTCTTAGGTGTCTAGATAACTTATGCCAGGATAATTCAGTTTTGTTGCAGTGGGTTGTCCCAATCCTAGCTTATACGCACTGACACATTTTGAAATGGGAAAGAGAAACCCTAATAAATAAATCAGAAAAGAGGTATCTGCTGTTTTGTCCTAACCCATTTCTCTTCTTTAGAATGCTTCAGGGAGGAGCAGCAGATAGTACAGAAGACAGAGGCCCTCAGTTTGCAGAAGTCTTTGTTATCATCTGGTTTGGAGCAGTTGTCATAACACTCAATTCCAAGCTCCTTGGAGGAACCATGTAAGATACCTGTAGAGCTGTCTTCTGGGGTGGGGGAAGAGTTTGACTACCTTGGGGATTCTCCAGATGACCTGTTGCTTTAATTCAGGGACAGACAATTTTTGCTTTAGGATGATAAAATGGCATACCTGACTGGGGCAATTTCTGGTCTTGGGAAGTAGACTGTTTTTATTCAGAATTTTTGAGTTCAGAATTACTGTTTAGGCCTTATTTAAAGCAAATAACACTATTGTTATTTAAAAGAGCAACAATAGATCAGTAGCATGCTCTTGAGAGCAGGGGCTGTGGAAGGCCAAAATATGTAAGTTGGGGCATGCATGTGGCCTAAGGATCCTGCCCTTTTAACCAGAGTGTAGAGTGCTTTTAAACAGCTTACATCATGTTAATTTAAACATCTTAATTTTTAAAACAGCCTTTAAACATTTTAATTTTTAAAATGTTATTTTCCTGCTTCTAGCTTGCTCATCAAGGAGAAAGCTAAAACAATTGACTTTGTAAAGCTTTCTAAAATCTTTTAATGACAGATAGGTGGATAGCAGACAGTTTAGGGCCCATTTTGTCTGGCTGTAGTTCTGTAGTTCTCTACCCTTTTTTCTCTCCCATCTCTGCGCATTATCATTTATCAAGACTTCTCTCTTTTTTGCCAGATCTTTCTTTCAGAGCCTTTGTGTCCTGGGCTACTGCATCCTGCCACTCACCGTGGCTCTTTTAGTGTGCAGGCTTGTACTGATAGCAAACAGTGGGACTGCTGGCTTCGTTGTGCGTCTTTTAGTTGTGGTAGCAATGTTTGGCTGGTCAACTTTAGGTAAGTTGGAAATGGAAAGCAGCCAGAATTATCTACATACATGGGAACGAGCACCACTGGGTCCTCCCTGAGTTCATCTGTATACCATAATCCCAGCACTTGTGTTGATCAGAATTTTGTGGGATGCATTACGCGATTTGTTTAAAAAAACAGGAGTAGCAGAAAATTAGTTCACTAACTCTATAGCATATGCAGTGTAGGAGGAGCGCCATGTTAGTTTATAATAGCTAGAAATTGGAAAGAGCATCTTTCCTGGCTAACATTAAAAGGCATAAACTTTTGAGGGCTATAATTCACTTCATCAAATGCATGAAGTAGATGGGGTGTGGTAGAGGTGCAGAAATGAGGGGAAGGTGGTTGGTTATGCAGATTACAGACAAGCAGTGAGGAAGGAAACAATCACAGAACACCAATAAAGAAACCAGATCCCCACAAAAACTGGCAGGGCAAGCTACTTTATATATTGAGGCAGAAAATCCCACATTTGTTTGAACTGATGGTGTTACTTAGTTGAAAAATACAAGGTCTGCAAGGAGACAGCCAAGCTCAGAGAATACCAAGGCCGCCAGGACAAACTTTGCATGAAAGAATTAGTGAACAAAAGTTTGACATGAGGACTCAGAATAAGGATAAAGTAATACCAGAGCATTTCCACCTTCCAAGATAGACTTGAAGTTCTCAGAGCATCCTTTTGGGGGGGGGGGGGGAGGGGG